CAATGAGACCAACTATTAAAAAATAATAAATAAAAATAGTAATAAAAATGATCAGTGCTCCTTCACAAAAGCACACCTACCAAACTCTTTGAAAAACACAATTGTTCCCTCAATTTTCAAGAAGCCAATGCTCAACCAGAAAACCTGTGAAACTACTGTTCTGTCTCCAGCCTTTCACTTCTGAGTAAACCACTTGAGGAAGTAGTAACCACTGATCATCAACAACATGAATATCAGACAACATTTGTGATTGGATGCCTCACGATCAGGCTTAAAATCAGAACCCAGCAACCTTTTTATGGCCCTTGACACAGGCATGCTCATACAGCTGGATCACTTTGCATTCTTTGACAAATGGCACTGTTAACCCACCTACATGACAAAACAGCAGTATTTGGTCCAGCATTACATTGGTTCCAGTCATTCCTCTTCAGCAAACCTCAAGTGGCTGAGTGTTCCTCATTACTAAAGGCCCTTGGTTGCAGATTCCCATGGGTACTATTACCTCTTCTCCCTCTTCATGAGATCACTGAGAAAGATGGACACGGGTTCAGCTGTCAGAAGTATGCTGATGGCACAGAATTATTTATTTCATTCTTTGCAGATACAGCCATTGTCGATGCTGAAATATCAGAATGAATACAAGAAATCAATGCCTGCATGAGCGTAGCTGGCTGATCTTGAACCCAGCTGAGCAAGATCATTGTTATGCTGGTCATAATGGGGAATCATTTTCAAGAGCCAGCTAGATTGTTATCTCCAGTTTCCATTGAAGGCATGTAGTCCTCAGTCATCAAAGTGGTATGAGCTTCAAGGTCATGTTTGGCTCCTCACTTTGTCGCTTCCTTCTGTACAAGGAGCCAATCATTGTGGTCCATACATTTGTCATCTCCAGTCTTGATTACTGCAATTCACTGTGTTTGAAGCTTAATATGAAGAAGATTCACAAGCTATACTTGGTACAGAATACAGCTGTGCACCATCTCCCTGGCTCAGTCTGCTGTGAGGACATCTGATCTGTACTCTTTGCTGGCTCATAGTTAGATTCTCGTGCCCGTTAAAAGCTATGGTTCTAATTTTCAAATTGATTTATGCTTCAAGCCTGTTACATTAAAAATCATATTTCAATTTATGAACCTCTGGCTACATCTACACTGGCATGATTTTCCGGAAATGCTTAAAACGGAACAGTTTTTCCGGAAAAGCGTCTGTGCCAATGTAGACGCGCTTTCCGCAAAAAAGCCCCGATCATCATTTTCGCGATCGGGGCTTTTTTGCGGAAAAGAAATCTGTGCTGTCTACACTGGCCCTTTTCCGGAACAGTTTTCCAGAAAAGGACTTTTGCCTGAACGGGAGCAGAATAGTTTTTCTGGAAAAGCACTGATGATTTTACAGTAGATCGTCAGTGCTTTTCCGGAAATTCAAGGGGCCAGTGTAGACATCTGGCAAGTTATTCCAGAAAAGCGGCTGATTTTCCGGAATAAGTGGCCAGTGTAGACACAGCGTCTGTGTCAACTGCACTCTTCTGGGACAATGCAAATCAGCTAGGGACTTAACTACTGCTATTGATTTCATGTGTAGGATGCTCAACATACAACTGGGATAAGTGGTGGTATATACCCCCTAATCTAGATTGATAAAATAGATTAATGTTTAAAGTTAGAAAAAAAGTTGTGAAATACTGGTAAATTCATATATAAAAATAATAAAAATGCTTTCCTTTGGTTGCTCCACGGGTCAAAATTTTATCTCTTTCCCCTGACATTTCCATAATTATCCTTTTTATACAACACATATTCCTCTTGACTTTACAATAATGTAGGGTTCCGTGAAAAACATGTTTGTGGAAAGTGTCATAAACACCATCAAGGGGAATATATGTTTTTCAGTTGAACACTTTAAATATCTCCTCCATTTGTTACCAAGTATTAATTAGGTTACAGAAAGTTCAGGTACCACAGAATTGTAGAATCCTGGGGCTAGAAAAGAGCTCAGGAGGTCATCAAGTCCAGCCCCCTACCCAAAGCAGGACCAATCCCAGCCAGGGCTTTGTCAAGCCGGGACTTAAAAACTTCTAGGGATGGCGTTTCAACCACCTCCCTAGGTAGCACATTCCTTCACCACCCTCCTAGTGAAATAGTTTTTCCTAATATCCAACATAGGCCTCCTTCACTGAAACTTGAGACCATTGCTCCTTGTTCTGCCATCCATTATTACTGAGAACAGCCTCTCTCCATCCTCTTTGGAACCTCCCTTCAGGAAGTTGAAGGCTGCTATCAAATCTCCCCTCACTCGTCTCTTCTGCAGACTAAATAAGCCCAAATCCCACAGCCTCTCCTCGTAGGTCATATGCTTCTGTCCCCTAATAATTTTGGTCGCCCTCTGCTGGACCCTCTCAAAAGTGTCTACATCCTTTCTATTGTGGAGGGCCCAGAACTGGATACAATACTCCAGATGTGGCCTCACCAATGCTGAAGAAAGGGGAGTAATAACTTCTCTAAATCTGCTGCAAATGCTCCTCCTAATGCATCCTAATATGCAATTACTCTTCAGAAGCTGTAAGAACACACTGTTGACTGGTATCCAGCTTCTCATGCACTGTAATCCCCATGTCCTTTTCTGCCAAACTGTTACTTAGCCAGTCAGTTCTTAGCCTGTAGCAATGCTTGAGATTCTTTCACCCCAAGTGTGGAACTCTGCACTTGTCCTTGTTGAAACTCATCAGATTTCTTTTAGCCCAAATCCTCCAATTTGTCTAGATTACTCTGGACCCTATCCCTACCATACAATGTATCTACCTCTCCCCCAATCTTAGTGTCATCCACAAACTTGCGGAGGGTGGAATCCATCCCTCATCCAGGGCATTAATAAAGATGTTGAATAAAACCAGCCCTAGAATCGATCCTTGGGGCATGCCGGTTGAAACCAACCATCAACTAGACATCGAGCCGTTGATCATTACCTGTTGAACCCGACAATCTAGCCATCTTTTCAGCCACCTTACAGTCCATTTATCGAATCCATACCTCCTTAATTTACTGGCAAGAATATTGTGGGAGACCATAATGTTATGCCCATACAAAGCACACGAGATCTTTTATAGGGGAGAAGGCAGCACGCCACATTTATTGAGATTACAACAGTTAGTATATGCTTTTCAGTCACCCACACATACACACACCATGCACACAGTCCTGCCAGTTGATATTATAGTTACCAGTCCAGAGTCTGGATCAATCTATCAGAGGGGTAGCCGTGTTAGTCTGAATCTGCAAAAGCGACGAGGAGTCCTGTGGCACCTTATAGACTAACTGAAGTGTAGGAGCATAAGCTTTCGTGGGCAAAGACCCACTTCGTCAGATGCATGTCTTTGCCCACGAAAGCTTATGCTCCTACACTTCAGTTAGTCTATAAGGTGCCACAGGACTCCTCGTGGATCAATCTAGTGGCCAGAAAGATTTATTGCAGAGGGAAGCCGGGCTTTGTCGGTCACGATCCAATGTTCCTGGAGCTGGTGGCAAGATGAACCCAGAGTCCCAGGGCAAAGCATCCTGTTCTTTATAGTCCTTTTTCTCTGTTGAAATCTATGGATTTTGCTGTGTCAGTTTGTGACCAGTTACTCCTTAATTGGTGTTATCTTTTGATGTTAACATTCCAAAACACCTCCGAGAGGGTCATCCCGTTCTGGACTGAGTTAATCGATTATCTTTAGGAGTGCCAGCCTCCACCTTAGGGTCATCAATCTGCCCTTCCTTAATCATGGATGTGCGTTGATGGTTCTCTGGTGTCGATAAATCTCATTAAATTTCTTCATCCCTTCTCTCTTAATCATCTGTTTTTAACTATGGCCTTCACACCTTATCTTTTTCTGATGCATACATTCCTCATTCACACAGTCTTTTACAGAGAACTTCAAAGGTATACAAACAACAGTGTTTTATATTGAGCAATAAAAAAGAATTGTAAATTAAACCTTACTAAATCTTGTAATCAAACAGTTCACATTGTGGCCCAGGCCTTCCACATTCCTCTAATCTTATTAACATAGACACAATACAAGATCCTGTCTCTTACTTACTAAACCTTAAAACAAAGAAATGTATATTTAACTAAAGGGCCTAATGGTCTGTCCCTGCCTTAACATCAGTACAGACACTGTATAATAATAATAATAATAATAATAATAAAAAAAAAACACGTTTCTATATAAGTAATCTTTCGTCTGTTTTATTATTGGTGAGTTTTTCTAGGATCAATTGTTCAATGCTGTCTCTTTTTAAATAATGTTCCTGAGAGTGATGTGTGTGAAGCATATTATGATGGTAGAGAGAATGGTTATATTAATAGGAAACACAATGTGTTGGGTTGTTCCAAGTTTGTATTTTTACTGTGCACTTTTTTTGCACAGCTCAGAAGCAGATGTGTGTTTAAGGTAAGGGTTTACAACTCCTTTTGATTATGGGATATACATGGCAATAGGATCAGAACAAAACCGCCTCAAGCTTTTTTTTTTTTTTCCTCAGTCTTCCAAGGTAAATCAAATATGTAGATGACATTTAGAAGTGGCAGGAATGATATTTCAATAATCATGCATGTCTATACTTTACATATCTTTAAAATACTGTTCTTTGAGTAGAAGCCAAATAATTAGGGCTTTTTGCTTTGTTTGTTTGAAATAATGCAGATATATTTTATTTTAGGAATTCATGAAATCAAAGTTATGTACACATCTGTTGAAAAGCTGTTAAAAATTGCCTGGCAGAAACATTTTGTATACAGTCAGCTGTCTTGCTGATTGCATTTTAAGAGAATGCTTCCCTGCGCTGATGACATTCAGTTTCCTAATTCGCTTTTAATAAGGCAATCCTTGTCTGAGATTTATTTCCTTAAGATAATGAAATAGGATTACTGAGGAATTAACAGCAATGCCATTAACATTTTTTTCTTTTGGTATCACCTCATGTTTTCTGTTAGAAAGTAACGAGATTTATTTTTCCTAGACGAGGGCAATATATGCAAGAACTGACGAACAACAGATGAGAACTTAATTCTTTGGTGAAATTAAGACACTGATGTATTTGAGGTATGTATGATTTATAAATCATATAATATTTTTCAGTATTTCTGCTTTCGTTAAAAATAATTTTATCTGGTTTTGAACATTTGCTTTTAATCACATCTTCTGAAGGTATACATGTAAGCTTCACTTTAGGGTATGGTGAGAAAACTTTTTTGGGTCCACAGAAAAATCAGTCAGCGGCCACACATAAGTGAAAAGAAAAACAAAACAAAACCCTCATTCATGTGGCCCCTAACTGGGGAGAAAGGCATTCCCTCGCATACCAGAACCTAGAGGGGGGCAGGCTAGTAATTTTATATGCTCCATCCTCATGAGAAACAACCAGGGGCTAGAGCACCAGCACAGGTTCCCCAATGCTGTGGTGAAGCCCTGAACCTCAGGGGCCAGATCCAGGCAAGTCAGGTGCCACATCTGGCCCCCAGGGCTTAGGTTCCCCACCCTTGTTTTAGGGGAAGCCCAGAATCATTCGTGCAAGTATGCATGCATTTTTCTCCTTGTATTTGATATTGTTAAGCTATTTAGAAATCTATTTCTGTTTTATCTACATACAATAAAGCATCAATAGCAAGCTGTCTATGGAGGCTAGTTATATCCAGATAAAACCTTGTCACTAATGAGTCTACCCTGTTTCTAAACATTTTATTTGCAACTATTTTCCGTGTGCCTGGTTGAAGCAATAGGAATTCTAAAACAGGATGGTATTTAAATGTTCTGAAGGAAATCATAAACATTTTTCAGATTGTGTTGCAAGCTTATATTCAGGATATTAGCGTTGTCTCTACAGTGCATTCTTGCGTTTAGTGGCTCCAAGTGACATTTACCAGTTCAATGTCAAAATAAAATAGTTTGTAAGTAAATTCTATATAGGTTAATAGGTGTTCAGGGGGTAGACCACAAAAGGCAATCAGTAAGTATGGAGGCCAATGGGGGCTGTGATGAGAAAATCCAGAATCTACTATAAAAGGAATTAAAATTGTATGATTAGCCCTGTTGCTAAGATGTCAGAAGTAGTTCTGATTTCTGTGGGTTTGATTCAACCTATGTAAATTTCACCTATGAAGTTTATAGTGAATATATTCATCCACTTGGTCCTAATATAAAGATTCTTATACACATACAGACAGTTATCAGCACACTCAACAAACTCCATTTTACAGCAAAAAAAATAGATTCAGTCCTGGTCTTACTGCTGTCACTTGCTAGGCTTGAGCAGAGGAATTGCACCCCAAAAGGACCTAAACAGTTATATGAGAAACAACATAAATATGCAGGTGATGGTTAGAAAGACGACTTCCCAAAGACATTGTAATGTAATAGAAGACTGTTTTCTGGGCTGGAACCCATTTCTTTCCCCTCCTCCATTGGCAACCCCAGTTCTCCCTTCCATTGAATAGCTCAAAGAGCCAAACTGACAATGTCAGAAACACTGAGTTTTCCCAAATAGCAATTTTCAGGCTGTGCCAAGTGTTATTTCTTCAATCTTTGGCTGTGTCTACACTGGGCCACTTATTCCGGAAAATCAGCTGCTTTTCCGGAATAAGCTGCGAGCTGTCTACACTGGCCCTTGAATTTCCGGAAAAGCAACGCCGCTCTACTGTACAAAATCAGCCGCTATTCCGGAAAAACTATTCTGCTCCCGCTCGGGCATAAGTCCTTATTCCAGAACACTGTTCCGGAAAAGGGCCAGTGTAGACAGCCCAGCAGTCTTTTCCGGAAAAAAGCCCCGATCGCGAAAATGGCGATCGGGGCTCTTTTCCGGAAAAGCGCATCTACATTGGCCACAGACGCTTTTCCGGAAAAAGGGCTTTTCCGGAAAAGCAGCCTGCCAATGTAGACGCTCCTTTTCCAGAAAAACTGAAAACGGAATAGTTTTCCGTTTTAAGCAGTTCCGGAAATTCATGCCAGTGTAGACACAGCCCCTATGTTTTCAGGTCTGAATTATAAACCACCTCTCTTCTATTGGTGTTCTCCAAAAGTTGAGATAAGCTGATGTGTGCTTGATGGCAGGTTATTTTTGAGAAACTTTTACCAGCTGCTGAACTCATGGCTTTATAAATTGGTCTCTGTAGCCCAGCCCAAGACTTTTGACCGATGGGCCTCATTTGTTACTAAAGCCTTAACTTGAGGAGGTTGGTTGGACAGATTTGGTAGTCTGTTAGAGGTGAGAATTTTGTTGCGTTCTTTAAAATGTATTTTGTACCATAAATCCCTAGCTGACATTGGCTCAGTTTTGTTAATTGCTGTTTTTATGTCATTAATATTATGGAATGTTTTGAAGATGCGTGTAAGAAAAAATGGAACACATTTTATACATCAAGACAAATAAATGAAAATATCTCATTTCCTAACATTATCTGGATCTCAGGGTACGTCTACACTGCAACACTATTTCAAAATAACTAGCACTATTCCAAAATAATTTAGTCTGTGTCTCACAGCAGGCAGTTATTTCAAAATAGTGTCCAAATACTGTCAAGCTGGACGACTTCTTACTCTGACTCCTGTAACCCTCATTGTACAAGGAATAAGGGAAGTCAGAGGAAGAGTGCTCTATTTCTAAATAAGTGCTGTGTAGACCATCTCTATTTCGAAATAAGATACGCAATTGATGTAGCTCAATTTGCCTAGCTTATTTGAAGTTAAGCCCTGCAGTGTAGAAACACCCCTAGATGTTTATTGATCATTCTAGCGTTTATAACCATAGATTGGTCTCTTTCAATGACTTCTCTTTCTTTCTTCTTGGATGAACCAATATTTGAAAATATTTTTGAAGTGACCAGAGAGAACCCAGAGAATGGATATAGATGTCACACATTCTCACATAATTCTAAGTCAGTTATCATGTCCAACATTCCTATGGGTTTCTTAAAGGAACTAACATTACTTCAGGGGGTAGCCGAGTTAGTCTGTTACAGAAAAAAACAACAATTGGTCTGGGAGAACTTTATAGACTAACAAAACTGTAGATGGTATCCTGAGCTTTCGTGGGCACAGCCCACTTCTTCAGATGACCGGTCAACTTAAGAAGTAGGCTGTGCCCATGAAAGCTCAGGATACCATCTACAGTTTTGTTAGTCTATAAAGTGCTCCCAGAACAATTGTAGTTTTTAACTTATTACTGTATCTTTCACAACCAACCAAATATTTGTTGGCTTTACTAGAATAATATTCCAATCCAATTGAAACTGCCTCCATTAGCTAATCCCATTGCTAATTTTATATAATTGCAACTATTTTGACCCCTCTACTTTCCCATGTTTCTTTTCTAGTTTTTGTTAGTTTTAAAATAATTAATGGATACCACATAAGAAAACAGAATTAAGCAAGTAGGAAAGAAAAATATTTATTCAGAGAACAAATGGATTTCCATTTTTGGGGTTGCTTTTTTGTCTGACTTAGAGAATTCAGTGCTGCATTTCTGCATCCTTATCGACCATTTTGTTTTAGCTGTATTTGGTGGTGGGATGTTGCTATAGGCTTATATGATTTGGCTTGGAGGAAGGAGAAAGACAGTGATACTGAGATGGCCAATCTTTTGGGTAGAGGACTAGAATGCTAATGAGCTGTGGTCGTGATGAATCAGGGTGAGAGCAGGTAGTCATGAGAGAACAAAACAAATGAGATCTTAAGTTAAAAGTGTTGTGAGGAGCCAGGTCAGATTTGGTGGTGATATCTGGTGCTTATGATGCTGGAGGTAATGAAAGGGATCAGAATAAATGTAAAGCAGAACAAATGTGAGGAACAGAGGTGCCAGATACTCAATCAAAAGGGCTGTATGCACAGATGCTGATTTGTGGGGGACTCTAGGGAATTTCTAACATAGGAGAAGTTGTAGGCTATTTCAAAGTCATTGCTTCTGATAGGGAAAATGGTAGTGAGGATATTTGTCAAGGTCTTGCAATTCATAACTTCAGGTGAGAAGAAATCTTTAATATTTACCGTCAGTAAATAGTACTGTACTGTGGTTAATGAGATCTACATTTTTATCACAAAAGCAAAGTCCACTCTAGTTCTTGTTTACCTCCACCGATCCATCCTCCTTTCCACACATAACAAAATAAGAATGAACTGGCCTTTTCATCACTCCTCAAAAGGAATAGTGTTCTGGCTGCTCAGGTAGATTTATATAACCAATCCTTCTTACAGATTGTGAAATTCAGGAACTTTCTGCCCCTTAGAAGGTATCTGCAGCATCTATCATTTGTATGCCATTTTTCAGACTGCCAGTTTATGATTCGTCCTCTGTTTGCAGTATTTTCAAAATGTTCCTGAAGCAGTTTGATAAGGGTCCAATGGAATTGCTACGAGAATGCAAGACAGTTCTCAAGTGTTTTAGGACTTCACCCAAAGCCCAGTGAAGCCCATGTAAAAAAAGATGCACTGTCCTCCAACGTTACAGCTCAGAGTGCTGCTACCCATGAAAATGGCGCTTTTCTGGAAAAAAAAATGTATTTCTTCTAAAGCATTGTCTTGTTCAGATGTATCCAAAGATTCTTCTTGAATAGTCTTTGGTAAGGTTGGGTATTTATGGAGAACCTTTTGACAAGATAAAGGTTTCCTTATTTTATATCTCCCCACATTTCATGTGCACAATTAGGTGTTAAGGGCTAAAATCTGGGCTGATTTATACCCTGTACATGGTCCCTGAATCCAGGATATATGTAATAAAAGTGAGCATAAGAAAAACCATACTGAGTCAGACCGACACCATCTTCTAACAGTGGGTAGTGCTAGTGTAAGCTGCCTGGCTCAGTCCTGGGCCTGAAACCTGTGCTCGGGTCCTTAAACAAGTGTCCAGTGGTCCCCTTTAAACCCAGGCTCTGAGTACAGGGCAGCGCAATCAATCAATACTGTCTCAGGTCTTAGGTATGGTGGGCAGGCAAACAAATAGCGATTCACAGTCTGTCAGCCCAAGCCCTGGTTCAGGGCAGGGCAGACAGACAGACAGAAAATAGAAAACTAGCAAGAAAGAAGGGGAGACTGCTACCCAGTGTGTGGAGTTG